GGGCTGCAGGGCGTGCGGGCCGGGGCCGGAGGTCAGGGGCTCGGGGCTGTGCGGGGCAGGTTCGGGGCCCAGGCAGCCCTTGGGGCGCGGGAAGAGGGCCGAGTGCGGGCCTGGGGGTGCAAAGGGCAGGCCCCTGGTCTAGGTGTGTGGGAAGGTGTGAGGAAGACCCCACGTTCCCAGGGTGCTCCCTGCAGGGGATCCAGTTCTGTGCAGGGTGTGTTTGCGTGCTGCGGGGTGGGAGCGGGGTCCACGAGCCTGAGGCAGGTTTCAGGGTGTGGGTGAGATGCAGAGGTTCTGGAGACGAGCTCTGTCCCCATCACCCCCCGGCAGAAGTTGGTCTTGGTGCCGGGTAAAGCTTTGAGCTGGTAACCAGAAGGTCTGCAGTTCCAGCCCACCAGCTGCTCTGTGGGACACCGATGAGGCAGTCTGCTTCTGTAAAGATTTACATCGTTGGAAACACTATGGGCAGTTCCACTCTGTCCTATAGGGTTGCTATGAGTTGGCGTTGATTCCATGGCAGTGGGTTTTGGATTTTGGTGGTCCAGTTGGACAGAGTGGAACAGCCCCATAGTGGTTTCCGGGGCTGTAAATCTTTACAGAAGCAGACTGCCTTATCATTCTCCTGCGGGGCTGCTGGGGGTTTCAAACGGCTGACTTCTCGGTTAGCAGCACAGTGCTTTGATCACTGTGCCACCAGGGCTCCTTAAATGCAGACTCGCAAAGCTCAAACAGGCCCTGCCTTTCTGTGGCAGCGGTGCTAGGGTTTGGTTTCTTCTGACTCCCACCCACAGTCTTTGCCACTTTGCTGCCCAAGACTAGGTCTCTGTCGTATGTCTTCACTTCTGCCCCCTCCCCACACTTAGAAACTCAGCCCCTGTGAAACCAGAGCTGTGCAACTGAGGCATCAAAACTTTGAGCTTGTCACCGAGGCTAGTAGGGAAGGTGCAGCAGTCCTCTGGGGTTTCCAAGCCCAGCCCTAAGGTCATTTATGATGGGTGCACACCGGCCCCTCCTTTTGCCTCACGGGGTGGGGGTGTCTTGGGTCTTTCCAAGGTTCATCTCAGTAGGCTGTGATTTGGAGGAGGGCTCACGCCTACATCTGACCACCAGAGGTTCTGTTTGGGTAAAATCTGCCTTCTCTCTGCTTCCTACCTAGAAACAAGTGTAGCAATTCAGTTACTTGAGGCGAAACATGCTGCCATGGTCTGGGGGTGTGCTGGGTGCAACAAGAAGGGATGAAAACCGCGTCAGGTTTATCGGTTCCTTTTACGGCCTTACTTTGTTGACAGTTTCAGGCCGTGGGCCTGAGTCCGTGTTTGGGCATTGGGCTCCGGCCTTGTTTCAGCAAAGCTGTTTACCTGCGTGCAAACATGCAGGCTGTGTACCTGTGCTCACAGCCAGCAGTCCCCGTGCTTCTGAGCCCGCGATGGAGAGCCCAGGAGCAGGTTTCCTGCCGGCAGTCCTCTGTTGGGTCGTCTGCATGCTCCAGGGAACACCGGTGCACAGCCAAAAACAGATGGCAGTGATAGGAGATGTATCTTTCATGCTGTGAAACTAGTCTAACATGATTAGGGTGGATGTGGCTCACGCATAAATTGAAATGTCGGTCTTGAAGGACATCGGCAGTTTTGTGGTAAAAGGTTATTGGTTGCTGTGTCTGTGGCAACTGGATCAGCACCTGAGAGAGCTAACGTTTGGCATCTGGGACGAGATGTGCTTCTCTCTGTCAGTGACTTTGATATTTCTCGGTGCCCATGTGTTGCGAGGTCCTGTGCTAGGTGCAGCGAGCACGTGGGGCTGGCCGAGTGCAGTTCCCTCGGCTGATCCTACCACCCCACCCAGAAGACAGCCCCTTGAGAGCGGGAGAGAGTGCTCTGTAATGAAGCCCCACTAACACATTGTTTAGTAAGTGGCTTTTCACGTCTGATGACCTGGTTCCTTCTCATGGCACGTGCATTGCTAGGGTCCCAGGGACACGTCACGGTGAGTGGGTGCAGAGCTGCAGACACAGGAGGGGCTCACTGTCAGGGCTGAGGGACAGTGACTTCATGGCAACATGGCCGTGAGCAGTGGGAAACCTTAGCCACAGCCTTGACTAGAACCAGCAGGCAATCCCTTCACAGCAGAAAGGTCTCCCAACATGCCTTGTGTCTGACCCCCAGCAGCTGTTAGCAGGTGAAAGCAGGGCCCTGCAGTCTGGGCCTCAGGCCTTGGAAGGCCACATCTTGGACCACACCTGTTCGGCGAGTTTTACTTTGCTCACCCCAACCCCTGCAGCCTGCCCTCCAGCACACGTGTGGTGGGACCACCCTAACCTGCAGAGCCTGCCCTGCAGCACACGTGTGGTGGGACCACTTGCCTCACGTGTGGTGGGACCCAGTGCTGGTTGGGCGAGGATGAGGACACCAGGAGTGGTGGTGGGCGCCTGGAGGATGTGGCAGGGGCCTGAGGACCAGGCAGAGTGTTTGTGTGAGCCTTGTGTCAGGACGGTCTGGCCTCCGTACCCACACCCACTTGGGGCAATACCAGTAGCCAGACCTTCAAGTCCATGACCTTTGTAGGGGTGGGGTCTGGTCTTCACCTGATAGAAAGCGGTCATGTGTATTTCCTCAGCTGGAACGTGGGACTGTATGTGGATTTGATGTTTTCCTGGTGCCTTCCCAGTTCCATAGTCACCTGCCGTCAGATGCTTCCTCACACTGATGCTCAATGGCTGGGCTCCTGGGGCTGTGCTCCAGTTACTCGGTCAGTGGCCCTGGAGGTGACCCCCCCAGTCATGGCTCTCTGTGTGAGCTTCGAGTTAGGGGAACAGCAGGCAGTGTGTTACGTTGTGTGTTGTGTGAGTGTAAAGGGAACGGTGGGGTGGACAGAAAACAGGCCTACAGAAGGTGGGACTTGACGAATTGAGTGAAGACCAGCTGCCCACGGGCGGCAGAGCAGTGTCCCTTCAGTGAGTGTCTCAGCCCACGGCAGGCAGGGACCCTCCTCCTCTCGTGGGTGGGGCCTGCTGTCAGGCGAGGCCTTGCCCTGGTTTATGCCGCTGGTCAACTCTGAAGCTCCATCTTCATCAGATCAGCAGCGGTGGGTCCCTCCCAGGAGGACCCTCGAGGGGGGCTGCTCTGCTCAGGGGTCTGCTTCCAGTAGCAAGAGATGCTTCTGTAGCCATGAGGGTTTCCTGAAGCTGTTTGGTGACAAGCAGAGCTGTGGCCAAATTGTGTCTCTGTTGTGTGTTTAAGCTTTGGGGTGGGGCGTGTCGCCACCAGGTCTCGTCTGAGAACTCCTCTGTGGCTGCCTGTCCGTGGCCCCACCTCTCCTAATCCTTGTCCTCTGATGGTTTCAACAGGACAGACTGAGCCCTGGGACACGCAGTGCTGATGCTTCAGGTGTGGCACGCCGCACGCTGACACACACAGCCCACGATGAATGTCCCAGAGCAGGGGTTCCCGCTGGACCTCGGCGCGAGCTTCACGGAAGATGCGCCCAGGCCCCCCGTGCCAGGTGAAGAGGGAGAGCTGGCGCCCAGCGACCCGAGGCCAGTCAGCCACGGCTTCTGCTCAGGGAAAGGGGAGACGTCGACAGCCACCCCCCGGCGCTCTGACCTGGACCTGGGCTACGAGCCTGAAGGCAGTGCCTCGCCCACACCCCCGTACCTGAAGTGGGCCGAGTCACTGCATTCCCTGCTGGACGACCAGGACGGCATACACCTGTTCAGGGCCTTCCTGAAGCAGGAGGACTGTGCTGACCTGCTGGACTTCTGGTTCGCCTGCAGCGGCTTCCGGAAGCTGGAGCCCTGCGACTCCAACGAGGAGAAGCGGCTGAAGCTGGCCAAGGCCATCTACCGGAAGTACATCCTGGACAGCAATGGGATCGTGTGCCGGCAGACGAAGCCGGCCACCAAGAGCTTCATCAAGGGCTGCATCATGCGGCAGCAGGTCGACCCTGCCACCTTCGACCAGGCCCAGACGGAGGTCCAGTCCGCCATGGAGGAGAACACCTACCCGTCCTTCCTCAAGTCTGACATTTACCTGGAATACACGCGGACAGGTGCTGAGAGCCCCAAGGTCTGCAGTGACCAGAGCTCGGGGTCAGGGGCAGGGAAGGGCGTGTCTGGGTACCTGCCCACCCTGAACGAGGACGAGGAGTGGACATGTGGCCCGGACGTGGAGGATGAGGACGGCAGGGGTGCTGCCCCCTCCAGCAGGCTCACCCAGAAGCTGCTCATGGAGACGGCTGCCCAGCGCACCTCTGCGGGCCGGCGGAGCAGTGAAGGCAGGGAGCTCAGGTGAGTCGGCCGGGGCCTGCCTGCTCTGCTCAGCCCTGCGGCTGGGGCTGTACCTCAGACTGAGCACAGCCCTGCTGTGTCGGTGGACCTTAGTCCCTGTTGGTTGACCTCTGCATGTGTCGGTAAACGCATTTAAAACCTGTGGTGTTGCGGGTGCTCTCGTTACAGACTAAGATTCATGGAAGGAGCTCTGGTGGCACAGTGGTTAAAGCATTCGGCTGATGACCAAACGGTGGCGGTATGAACCCACGAACTGCTCCGTGGAAGAAAGATAAGGCATTCTGCTTCCATAAAGACTGACAGTCTTGGAAGCCCTATGGGACAGTTGTAGAGGGTTGCTGTGAGTTGGAATGGATTTGACAGCAGCGAGTTGGGTTTTTGGGTTAAGATTGTTGGTTTTGTAAGTCGTTAGAGACGTTGGTGTTCTTAGGCATCATAATGCCGTTTCAGCTTTAGCTGGCAGCAGAGATGGGGACTGCAAGCTGCAGTGAGACCAAGCCCCTGTGGTTCAGTGTAGGAGGGAGTGGCCATTGGCGGGTACAGCCCTTGCTGGGTTGTTGGTCGTTATGGGGGTCTTTCTAGTGGCTGCACAGTGGCAGTGTGGAGGCTTCTGTGGGCTGGAGAAATTTCTCACGGTGGCAGCTGCAGTTCTAGGATACTGTACTTTTGTCCCAGGCCCTAGATGTGGCACTGTGGCAGGGCGGCCCAGTGATGGTTCTGGATTCCTTATGGCAGGGTCTGCAGGGTGGGGGCAGCGCTGGGAGCAGCTTCCAAATTCTGTTCCCTTTGTCAACTTCCTGTGGTTGCTGGAGGGCCTGTCAGTCAGTGGCAGGTGCGGCAGGTGCCTCTGTGTCCCACTCATTCTCCTATGGCGGTGACACCGGGGTGCCTGAATGCAGGTGACCCAACTCCAAGTGTTACTGTGAAGTCATTGCAGGCCTGGGCCTCCATGCTTTGTGTGACAGGGACACTGGCTCCTTGCTTGCAATCACAGGGTCAGACCCCGTGAGGTGAGGCAGGCTCAGTGTAGGTGGTGTGACTCCAGATAGGCTGCTTGGGGTAGGCTCCTGGCCCCTCTGCTCGTTGTCCTCAGCTCAGCTCTTAATTTAGCTCCTGGGCACAGAAAATGCCAGCAAGCTAGCCTGCTAAGTGCAGGGAGAGTGACACAGTTTCTCAAACCCATGAGTTTGTGCGTGTGATTAGATAGGATTAAACTTGAAGCCTGGGCTGCAGGGAAAGAAAATTGAGACCAATTCCATTATCTAGTTTTGGACATTCTTGATCACTCCTCCTTGCCCACCAGAGTCTCAATCACAAGCAGTGACTCTGTTTTTTTCTGTCACTTACAAGCAACCTTGCTGTCAAGTTGAGAAAACGGACTGGCTTCAACTGACGGTATCTGGCTGAGGACTGAGCGTGTTCTGGTCCACCTGCCTATCTGAGGGTGCTGGGGCCCAGGGGCCTGGTGTTGGGAGTCTTGTCTGTGACTCTGGCTTGTTTCGTGGTTTGAAGGTCATTGTTGGCACTGACAGGTGTGGTGGCCCAGCTGGTGCCTCCCACGGATGATTGTGGTGTGGCCACTTCCTGCTCGTCATGTAAGGGGTGTCAAATAGAACACAGGTGAGGTGGCATAAGCAGAGAGGGGGCTGATCAGCACCTATGAATGGAGGTCAGAGACAGCCAGCTTCAGGCATGGTGTGACCCAGCCTCTCTCCTGTGGTTCTCTCTTGACCGTGCCCCAGTGGCCAGCCTGTTCTCAGGTAGCCCTGTGTTGACGGCGGCTCTGAACTTCCTGGTGCAGAAGCACTTGCCGCAGCCGTGGAGAGAGGACCTGTGTGTGCTGCTGCTTGGTGGGGACGGCATGTCCGGCTGTGTACTGCCTGTCCCAGCAGGCTGTTGGCCAGTGCTGTGCTGCTGGGCTTACGCTGAGTGGGGCCCCTGGGAGAAAAATGGACTGTCTTCACAGGAGGTCCCAAAGGCGCTGGCAAAGGGAGGGGAGAGGCAGGTGGGTGTGACTCTGGATGAGGCACCTGGGGTTCCTTACGGCACCACCTGACTCCTGCTGGTCTTGTACCGTCCTCATTATAGGTGTTTCGTAACTATTTAACTGCTTCCAACTGGTTCACTCCAGTCCAGCCCCCTGCTGGGAATATTCCTTTCCACCCCAGAGACACTGAATCAGAGTGTACATTTGAACAAGACCCTGGGGTTCTGCATCAGTGAGAAAGTAGTTCTGGTGGCTGTCCTACTGTGTGCACTTTGGGAGCCTTGCGTTGTTTTGACATGATGTACTGTAAACACATCCTCGTGACTTTGATTTTGTAAAATAAAAATAGTGTGTGATGGACACACACACACACGTACGTATGTGTGTGTTCCTGGTGTTGGTGAAGAATATTGATTACACCGTGGACTGCCGCCGGAACAAACGCGTGTTGGAAGAAGTGCAGCTGGGGTGCTCCCTGGGAGCACGGATGGTGAGGCTGTCTCTCATGCTTCTGACATGTGATCAGCAGGGACCAGTCCCTGCGTGAGGACGTGGTGCTCGATCAGTGAAAACGAGGGGGACCCACAATGAGAGGGATCGACCTGGGCTGTAAGAGCAGGTTCAGACTCGGCAGCGACTGTGAGGGGGAGCAGGATGGGGCCGTGTCTCGTTCGCTGGGAGTGGGCACCAGTTTGACGGCAGCTGACAAGGACAGATACGTGCTTCTTTTTAGCAGCATCCTGGTGTGTTTTCTGTGAAAGTTCACACAGCAGATTAGGCTCCTCTCTGACAATTTCTAGGCATGTTGCTCGCTGGTGTTGGCTCCATTTCCCTGATTCTCTGTAGTTGGGTTCTGATTGCTCCCGTCTCTCGGCTGCCCTCTCTGCTTCAGGGTAACTCTTGACCTCGAGGCCTCAGATGGATGGTTTTACGGTGGGACACTGTGCTCATGGGTTCTAGCCTGAGTTCTGTGAGCCAGCCTGTAACTTTGTTGAAAAGTGACCTCAGATAGTTGGGTTTCAGTTTAGTGTCTAGCGAGCCTTCTAATCTCAACTGGTCCAGTAAGTCTGGACTTTTTGAGAGCTCGGGTTCTGTTCTGCATTTTCACTCCCTTCTGTCAGAGTCAGAGTCCGTGTGCTGTGGTCCAGACCAGAATGCTTGGTGGGGTGGTCGCTGGGCGCCGCCGAGAGCCTCTGGCCTCAGGGCAGGTGAGGCTGGGGCTCGTGTGGGCTCTGAGCCCCATGACTGGGTTCCCGACACTGGTCTCCGTCTTTCCCTTTTGCTCTTGACGAGCAGAGTCCAGTCGCTGTGTCTTTAGATGGCTGTTTGCAGGCTCTGAAGACCCCAGGTGCTGCTCACCTCACAGGGACGTGGGACATGAGCTCCAGGAACTGTATTGTGCCAGTTGACTGGGTTGTCGCGTGAGACTGAGGTCCTGTGTCTTCAAACCCAGAAAACCAATCTGACAAGGTGTTTGTTTACGTCTGAGAGGTACCTGTAACTGTCCTCCGTGAATAGATGCGCAAACACATCTCTGTACGTAAGTGTGCATGGACATGTGCACTTGTACCTACCTGCACACATGTACGCCTGCACACACACACATATGACCACGTGTTTGCTGTGTGGTGACTGCATGTGTCATATTCTTTCACGCAGACGTCCTTCTCTCACGTGCGCTTCTTCGTGGCGTCCTTTGCTTTGGTCGGGCGTGGTCCTTACACCCCATTGGGCACTGCTTTCCTGTCACCGAGAGTAACCAGAGTGTGCGTGCGCCCACCCCCGGTCTGCCTTGCAGCCACCAGTCAACATGGGCTCTGTTCGTGTCCTCTTGTCCTCGTGAGCTTGACCCCCCTCATTAGCACTGCACCCTCCCGGCTGTCCATGTCATGACATGTTCTGCACTGTTCCTTGGGGTTGCGTAGTACCTACCCCCTTGTGTGTGTGTACCCCACTTGGCTGACCTGTTCGCCCGCTGATAGACACTTAGTTGTCTGCATGTTTTGCCTCGTGAATAACTCTGCAGCAGACATAGCTGTGTGTGTCTCTGTGTCACTTCTGTTTGCCGTCTAGGTCACGTGCCCGGAGCGGGATTGTGGGTCATAGAGTAGCTAGCTCTATTTCTAGTCTTTTAGGAAATGCCATACCATTTTCCACAGTGGTGTGCCATTTTACAGTCCTACCAGTAATGGATAAGGGTTCCAGTCTCCCCACATCCTTGGCCACTTTAGTTGTTATCTTCTGGTTTCAGAGAAACGAGATCATGCAGTATCTGTCCTTTGGCAGCGAGCTCCTTTCACTCGTGTGATGTTTTCAGTGTTCTTCCGTGTGCTGGCAGGCGTCCAGGCTTCGTTTCTCATCGTTGTGTGATACTCCATTGTGGGCATGGACACTGTTTTCTTATCCATTGGCCTGTTGAGGGACATTCTGGTGGTTTCCACCACGTGAGTTTTGTTTTCCTTTAAATTTTATTTTGTTGAAAAGGATGCAGTGAATGACTAGGTGTGGCTATTCCAGCCGTGGTCTTTGGTGAGGTGCATGCAAAGGTGAGGTGTTCATGGCCCGCCGAAGGGATTGGAAGGCTTGTTGGTAATGCAGGTAAGGTACACGCACCCTTGTGGGGTGGGACCATGCAGATAAGGTATAGGGGACCCTAACGTGGGGATAGGGCAGTTCTGTCATTTCACTAGGCTTAAAGTGAACCCTCCTAGAGGTGGAAGAGGGGGACCTCACTGCCTTCAAGAGAGAAGCCAGGACTGGAGTGTGTCCTTGGACTTGAGGTCCGTGTGCTGAGATGGTGGCAGAGAGAGCGGCAGGAGAACCAAGGGACCGGCACTGGTCAGGGCAGTGGGCTTGGTGGCCTACAAAATGAGAAAGCTGGGTGCCCTCGGCAGGAGGCTTGCTGGCTGAGTGGGGTGCACCGATCGGCAGGTCTGAAAGAGCTTTGTAACACTTGCCTGAGTGGGCAGAGGCCAGGCCAAGAGGCTGAGGGCCAAGAAGAGGGGCGCTGAGG